CGTTTGCTAGTTACCAGTTTTAAACTCGTCTTAAACTCACGCATGCGCATAACTTACAAAAACGCCCAACGTCCATGACTTAATGGCGGACAACTTTCATTTCGCATTTGCATTCCCGCGCGGAATTAGTACCCTCGCCCGGTGCTTCGCACCGTCTCGGCGATTATTATACCCCTTATTACACTACCTCGTTTGCAAGCTTAAATGCATTGCCTGTGGCAGTCTTGTAACCAATTAAATCTTTTTTGTAGTCAAAATGGTCCAACTAATTTATCAAGTCCTCTCGATCAGTTTTTTCTCCAACATCCAAAAATTTTCTAGTTTTCTCAGCGCTTGAAAACGTGATGAAACCAAGATGAGAACAATTTTCCCTCGCGTTCATTTCATCACTTAAGATAAGTTCTTTAAGGAAGTCTCTCACTTTAGGGTAGTGCAAGACACCGATAGACGCGGAATTATCCCACAGCACAAGAATATCTTTTCTACACGCTAAAAAATCAATGCAACTATGTTTCCCTAGAAGCCATAAAACATGCTATACCTTTGATGTCTTGAGTTGAATCAATTTCTTCAGACGAACTATGATCTGTGTTGTGAAAAGATACATTTAGATAGAATTATTAGGTTTCATGGCATAGTCCGAAAAGCATCTGGCGATCGAAGATGAACTATGTATCCTAAAATTACCTCCAGGGTACCCTCAAGATGCGGTATATAGTCTCTCGCGGCATAAAAAGTGCATTTTTGGCTGCTACGATTCTTCATGTTGTAATTATATTCTGTCTATAAATTAAAATTCGTGACTATAAAAAGCGGATTCGTCAAAATCGCTCCGGAATCCCAATTCTACATAAAGGCAGCTATATAACATCGCAGTAATACATATCAAAAGATCGAGCTGTGTCACACTTCTTACGTCATTGGCCGCGCATGGAATGTTAGGAATTTCGCCAGTAAAGAATCTAACAAGTACGATCGTACTATAGGGACCAGGAACTGCGTAACCGAGTTTAATTTCTGAACTGCATTGTATTTATAACAATGGAGAGGACAATGTATTTCTAATCGTTTCCGTTTACTTATATATAGGCTGAATATTAATGATATGTATATATTATTTGCTCCAATATATCAAGAATTGCTTGTTACTTGTGTTAAGTAGCTTTTATTTTCTCTATTTACGCGAGGTAAGAGATCTTTACAAGCTTTTACTAAAGTTCAATAATGTTCTCTTCTTTCTCGTTCTTCTCTTCTCTTCTGATTATTCGTCCTTTCGGACCTCGGTGTCTTCAGTTCTTGTCTTGGATTTCTGTTCTGTCAGGTTGAGCTTCTCCAACGTTTCATATACTTTTTTACTCCGCTAGTCCACTGACTGTTCTGTTGTTGTGCGCCTCCTTTTATAATAAAATTTGAGGGGATCTTGAAGACGCCCTGTGCAAGATGGTGTGATTCACACAATCCAATCAGCGTTGTAGGTTGTAAGTGTGGGTTGGCGTTAGAAGCTCGGTCCAGCTCTCATACTTTGTTTACTTAAGGCCGGTGACGCACTAGTCAAGTTGGTCTTTTACTTAATCGATCACTGTTAAAACTTGTTCACAACTTGAAATATTTATCATCAACTTAAAGTACAATTATCAACTTATTACTCTGTGAACCGTATCTCAACTTATAAACTATTTTACAAATAATTTCATCGAATTAAGCTTTTAGTGACGTAAGGCTTCAAGAGCTTAACCGAGCAAAATATAACAAAGACATGATTGACATAAACTAGTATACCGCCTAGAACTTATGTTCTTGAGTCGTGACACTTGTAATTTGTACGACACACTATTGTTTCGGAGGAAATCCCATGGGCTGTCACCTTATGACAGGAAAAGTAATTTTGTGATTCCGAAGGGTCATAATAATATTTACTTTACACTTCATTTTATGTGACATGCATGTTCCCCAAGTAATTTCCTCATCTATATTGACCTTCTATTTCTTAACAATACTAAATTACATTATATATACGCATTTCGTAACACTTGCTTCAAAGGTCAAAAGTAAAAATTCTAACTCCGTCAATCGATGCGGAATATTGCTTAGAATAATTGTGCCAAGTTTCATTCCGATCAAACAAGTAATGATAGAGCCTTTTGATACAGAGTTTTTTTAAAGTGTCGCCCCCTAACAAGAAGAAGAAGAAGAAAATTAGCAGCGGTTAGGGACCAGTTCCTGGGCCAAAAATCGAACTTTAATCATAACTTCCGCAAAACAGATATCGAAATTTTCATTTCATATACAGTTTAAAGAAGTGAGGAATGTTTTTCCTGTATCAGTATCACACAAGACCACAACGCGACGAAGCGCTGTGCAGTGCCAGGTATTTAATAATGCAAGTTTATTCAATACGACGCCAATTAATAATCACAAACAAACTAGTTCAATATTGAGAATGTGATAACCTAGATGGTCAAAACCATATGTAGACGAATATGTCGAACATAAACAAAATTACGCCTTACTTGAGTGCATCGAAAATGGAAATTATCCTGGAATAGGCTGGAAATATTTATGTGGCAAAAAGCGCGTGTAAAAGAGCTGTTTTCTGGTTAATACCCTGTACATGCAGGGTGCATAAAAAAAAGGTAATCCAACTTTGGTGCGCTATTGTACGTGAACTACTCATTCTATTGACGATTTTTTTTCACATTCCGAAAGGTTTATAGGCTTTTAACTATCGAATAACATGTTTTAGATACCAAATGGTGAAAAAATGAGCAAATAGGAGGCTGATAAAAAGTGTTAGTCGAAATCGCATATTTTCACCTCTGAGAGTTGGGACTAAAACCATTGAAAGCAGAATTTGCAGAATTTTGCTTTTGAATAAACTACCCGCATATGCATATTAAGTAGGAATAAATCACATCAGGAGAACATTCCAAGCAATGCTGCATAAAATTAGTGCAAGCTGTGACATGGTCGTGATTAATTGTTTTTTCTTTTGTTACGCACTGCTTTAATTAAGCTCAAAGGTGAAAATATGCGATTGCGATTAACATCTTCTATCAGCCTCGTATGTGCTCACTTTTTCACTATTTGGTATTAAAAGCATGTCATCCGATAGTTAAAAGCCTGATCTCTCCGAATGTGAAAAAATTTCGTTCATACACTGAGAAGTACACGTACAATAGCGCACCAAAGTTGGATTACCTTTTTTTATACACCCTGTATACCACGACTAGCCCAAAGCCGTTTGTTTTTGTTTTTGTACTTGTCTGCGTCGATTAACCCTGTAAAAACAACTTCAGCTTTCTAAATGAATACGTTGATCACCTACGATGAATCAGGATCATTTGGGAGCTTGTAGTCCAAGAATACGATCATTTTGACAAATAACGAACACAGACTGTGAGGAAATGCAAAGACTCAAAGAGAAACAGGAACTGGGTGGGGTTTGGCTCTGTGATGTTGGCTGTGGCCACTGAGCTAAGTTACAAAACTGGAACGATATCTCTATCATTTTTTAGGCCTTTTGTTGAATAATTTGTATATTTTTTAAATTGCTGATAATCACAGATAACCGTTCAAAAAACACCGCGTTTAAAAATATTGAGGAGAGCATCGAGAAATTCAGTTAAGATCGAGGCCTTGGGAAATAATTAAAAAATTACACTTAATCAAATAATCTGTGATTATGGATAGGATTTCAAAAATGCTAGAGTGGTTTGTCGTCAACTTGGTTATCAAAATGCTCTTAGAGCTCTTCAGGGAGGTCAGGTTCCTCATGGTTCTGGACGGATATGGTTAAACCGGGTAGAATGCACAGGAATGGAGCAAAATTTGATAAGTTGTATTCATAGAGGATGGGGAGATCATGATTGCAGTCATGACGAAAACGCTGGAGTAGAATGTGTTTCAACAGGTAAAGGTAAAAAAATAACAACATGTTAAGGTGCTCAATGAGCATATATCGGAAAAACGCTAATGTTTTCCTATTTCTCATTTAAAAGTAATTTTTTCCTCCTGTTCTGACACAATTTTTAAAAACTTGACCTGGTAAATCTTTGAAAGTGGGTTGAATTAGGGGGCCGGCTTAACAGAATTTATACCTCAGATTTGTCTGTGCAATTGTATCAATTGTATCTATATGTGTGAACGAATACCCTGGGTAGCTAAGCGCTCAGCAAAAGGAAAAAAGCTTTAACTTCTATGTTAAAAGTCACATAATAATTTGCCCCGTGACATATAGTCTATAATTTTCAGTAAGATGTGCTAGTTAAGATACGTGGGGCATATGTTTTAATATATCTGCACATACGCTTTTATGTAGAACAGCGTATAATTTCGCACTACTACGAAATACGAGCATAACATCATTAGTGAGTGTGCTTTCTCGAACCGAACTGCGCCCTAATTCGGCTAATTGTTTACGGCATTTCTCTACCTTTGAATTCTGCGTACAAAAGAAACCTCAGTCTAACCGCAGCCGCACCGCATTGTGACCGCGACCCCACCGCAATCAGACCGCGACCGCACCGCAATATGACCGCAACCGAACCTCAACCGCAGTGTTAGGTTATTTCTGGGCAGTACTGTATGTAACTAAGTCTGCTTTCCAAGAGTGCCGCGTATACTCTTATATGACAAAATTTGACAAATAAGTAAATTGTTAAGAGTTTTCGTCATTACAGCCAATGATGTTCGCGACAAGCTTATATTGATAAAATTGTCTTATCAATTCTTATTCATGGAAATGCCAGCCGTTAAATGCTAGCCTTTGAGATAGCTGAAATTGCTATATTTTCGTTATTTTGGGTCTATTTCTATACTAAAGCCGCCATCTTGGATTGATTTTTAAGTACCCAATGCGCATGCTTCTCCGCCATAGTGTATTAAATTTCTAGCCATGTTACAAAAGTCGTTTACCTTGTTCGTGTTAAAGAAGAAATAATAACTTTTTTTGTATGAATCTTCATATGAGAAATTGTAATTATTTACATTTAACGCCCTGGGAGAAATCTTTAAAATATATAAGATATTGTAAGAACTGCATGTACATTCTTGAAACCGGACATGAGGGAAAATCACAAACTTTATGGCTTGAGTTGAGTATCAACTCAACTTTGTTTAAACACGGTATTACTCTTCAGGACTTACATGCAATTAAATGAATACAAACCTTAAACATTTACAATTATACTTATGTTACTAATTAATTAAACACAAGTTTGCTTTTCAACAGTGCCGCGTATACTATTATAAGATAAAATTTGACAAATAAGCAAATTGTTAAGAATTTTCGTCATTACAGCCAATGATGTTCGCGATAAGCTTATATTGATAAAATTGTCTTCATGCAACAATATTAATTCATATTCATTGAAATACCAGCCGTTGGTTGGTGGTTTGTAACATGTAGAGTAATAGATTAAATTTCTTTTTCACTTTTATCTGGACCACTGCTACTAGTCACTTCAGTAAGTTTATCGTAACAATGATTTGCAAATATCTCAGCGTGTTCATCATCTACTGTTACATTACTGACAATTTCCCAGGTCATTTTGCCGTTAATGGTGTAAATATAATGAGAAAATGTACAGGGGCATCATGGGTAAGGTCGTTTATGAAACATTCATTTAGTTTATAAGTCACGTTTTGTTCTCCACCAATATTAAAAGACCCCATACTTGATATTAAATTGCAGGGGCATTTGGGAATTAGCTTGCCGGTGATGAATGGGCTGATTATTTCTATTGGTTCCATTACTCCACTGACTACAGTCTCTTCAGTTATATATCTTTCTTTCTTCACATAAGATTTGATCTCCTCGGTAGTTTCTTTGGCTAATTTCCAAAATTCGCCATCATCATCTGGTGCGTACTTCATATAACAACCATTCTGCATGTACACGAAATACCCTAAGTAATCCTTGTCTGGTTTTGGATCACAAAAGCGCAGGGCATTGATAGGAAACGAGAAATCTATCTCCGTATCTTTAGGGTTTCCATGTTCCATAAATCTAGAAAACGCCAAATGTGCCGCTGCCGTGATAGCTCCAGTTACTGTGCAATTATTTGCTTTGCAAGTTTGTATAATGTCACTCGATTGCTTCTCACTAAATACTTTTATATTCAACCGGCATGGCACGGATAATTTAGACACTTCTGGATTTGGTGGGAATTGTTCGTGATATGGATTATTCGGCTTCTTTTCCCTTTGGCGAGTTATAATTTTTTTCATAAGAACTTTCAATATCGGTCCCAGACCGCAATAGGTTAGCAGCAAATTATAAAGTGAATGCCAAATTCGATGTCGAGTAACAATCTCATGAAATTGTGGCAGCAAATCAAGACTGGGGATTTCCTGATCAACACTGCTAGTAGCGTTCGCGAGTTCGTTCATTGTATTAAGGAACAGCTTGCAAAACTTGACAGTAGACACGCCGTCGATACTTGAATGGTTAAATTTAAACATTAATGTATTTACATATTTTCGATTATCAGATAGGAATTCCTCTCGCAAAATCACAACTCGCCATAACAGACCATTTCCTCTCTGTTTTGCTGTATATTCAAACCAGACATCTTGCCAGTCCGAAGCCTTTACACCGGAAGTGGTGATATCTAACATTCCAATGACTTCACATATTTCCTTGATTTCAGAATATTTATCACCATTCGTCGTTGTTGTTATGACTGCTCGAAGCATTGGCTGTCGTTTGGCCAAGAGTATCAGAGCGTCGCGAACGTGTTGAAGTACCAAGCTCTGTTTCGATGCTATGGATATCGCGAAGCATATATTCGATGCACCAGATTTTTCCGTGGAAAGAATATCTAGGACTTCTTCGAGCGCCCCAAGTCGACGTCGGTTTGAACGAAAGGTTGCTGGCAATTTGCTGTTTCCTTCGCTAGTGAAGTATTTCAGAATCTTGTATACAAGATATACGCAGACTGTAGACAGAAAACCTTGAGTTATTGACTCAACACTTGCCATGTTAGTACCAAAAATCAAGTTTCAACGTACAGCGAAAGTTTGTATAATCAAATTTTTGGTTAAACCGGGTTTTAACAAGGCGGAATTTTGAACGATATTTTTGGCTTGATTTTGTGTTCAATTGTGGTTGGTAAATTAAGTGGTCGCTTCGGTTGGTAAATTAAGTGGTTCGCTAGCGAAATATTTGCATATTTTCTTTTGAATTTTAACAGTATAAAAAAATTAGTTCGACTTGACTGTTCTCAATTCAAAAGAAAATATGCAAATATTTCGCTAGCGAACGATTTTGCTGCATGTAAGTGGAAATCCGCCTTAACTCTCACAATTGAGGGGAAAAAACTGTTCGATTGCAACTTTCCGCAACGTGCAATATCGCTGAAAGAACTGTTATTTCGTGACCTCTTGAACAGAACTAATGTAAAAGACAAAGAAAAATGTCCGCTCCATGTGCAAAATTCCTCCTAGTGGAAAACAGTCTTAAAACTTCATTAGTTTGTAAGCTGGACTCTACTGTGCCTCAACATAGAAATGCGTGCGCGAGAATGTGATTTGTCCCAACCCAGCAAGTTCACATAAGGCTATTTACTTCATCCCGCTTACCCAGATAATGACAAGATTTAAGTGAAACATTACTTCAGCACATTTTGCCAGAAACAAGACAGGTTTTAACCCAGAAATATCATGTAACAAAGCTTACAAAAGTCGTTTACCTTGTTCGTGTTAAATGAAGCACTAATAAATTTTTGGTAAATATTCTACTGAAAAAAATCTAACCTTGGTAGACTTTATAAATTCAGTATTAAGAGCTTTTGAGTTCAATTGCATTATGATATACTGTATTATATATCTTTAACCATGTCTATGAAGGTATGTCCAAGGCTTTTGAAATACTTCACTGGCAAGCAAATAAATTGCCTGGAACGTCTAGTTCAAACGGACGTCAACTTGGGTTTTCTGAAGCAGTCGTAATACTCATGCCACAGATGGAAAAATTCGGTGCATCGAATATATACTTAACGATAGCTATAACATCGTGTGGGAGATTACTACATCTATGATGTTCGCGACGCTCTCATACTCTTGGCCAAACGACATATACAGACAATGCTTCTGGCTGTCATAACAACAACGATGAACGATGAAAAATATATCGTTATCAAGGAAGTCAGTGAAGTTGTGACAATGTGACAAATATCCACTTCTGATAGGTTCGGTCCGAAAGGCTTCGGAATGGCAAGATGTCGGGTTTGAAAATACAGGAAAATAGAGAGGAAATGGTCAGTTTAGGAGAGTTGTAATATTACAAGAGGAATTCATGTCAGACAATCAGAATATACAAAAAACAAATGTTTAACTTAATTCATTCATGTATGGACGGCGTGTCAAGTTTTGCAAGGACCTCCTCAACAACATGCATAATCACTAGCGAACGGTGCCAGCTGTGTTGCCCAACATACTAAGTATTTGTGCCACGAGTGTTCAAAAATTAAAAAAGTTCTCCGCACACTAGAGCTTCCTGCTTAAGAACGCTGCAACGAATGGTATTTAAAAAAAACACTTTTGAAATTGAATACCCTTAGTAAAAAAAATTAAATTTGTCAAATAATAAACTTCTAGTATGATCAATAATTACTTGTACAACTCGTATATCGTCATAAATAACGCATTTTTCCAACTACTGAGCAAAAATCTAATTTTCCACTTTGGTTGAATCATCTGAGCCACTGTCAGTGCATTCGAGTGATCTTTAAAAAAAATATATCATAGGTGCAATCTTAAATGTTGATTTTTATTGACAATTATAATAAATATTGTTCTGAAATATTTTGCGAAACCTAATGTAGTCTAGGACCTGTATACGAGTTTCTATGCATTCCATTTAGCACAGGCAATCTCAACTGTTTTAGGGTCATTTGACCATGGCAGTTAACATGGCATATGTGCCAATTAAAACCTGATTCCGGGACGACACCTGACTCCGCCCTGAAACGGCAGTGCCGACATAGCTCTAACTTCGAAAAAGCAAAAGCAGTAGTCTTTCTGGAGTGCTTATAGTGTTTAGAAGGGTTGCTTTTAGGCAGTGTTGTAGAAAAGGGGGGGGGGCTCTTTAGGGAGGAGCCCCCTTTCTTCAAACGCAGAGGGGGCTGAACCCTCTTTCCTATTTTTTTCCAGCCAGTTTACTGATGTAAAACCATATTTTTTCAATTTACCAAATTGAATTCATTTATTTTTGTATATTAACTTTTATCGACAAAGAAATGACCATTGTTAACATATATCTAACTTTATTTTTTTCGCCTTTTCGCCCGCGCATCATTCCGCCCAATCTTTACCGTTTAGCGTGCGGTGGAAAAAATAAAGGCCTGACATTCAGGTTAACATATATCTTAGGATTTCACAAATGCATTGTTTAACAGCAAACAGCTGGCAACTAAATTTACAAAATTAATATATTTACATATTTATACAATTTTGAAAATTAAATAGTAACTTCAGTTTGATTGGTCGATGAATGATGGTAAACTTTATTTAAACAATGATAAATTATGACGTGATCCATATTATGACGTCAACCATGGCAAATTTATCTTCTCGAGACCCCCCCCTTCTACAGCACTGCATTTAGGGTTGGTTACGGGAAGGGAAAATTTGTCGAACTATAGTATTTAAGCGGTTAAAATGGCCATGCACCACTTTAGGTTAAGTACTAATTATGCATGAAGTAACTAATATGCCTGGCAGAGATTAAATTTTCTTATTTCCTGAAAAAAATGTCATGGGACCTAAACCTATCCTTAATTTGATATAATTATACCAGTTTTCGCAAGGATTGACATGGTTTTCTTTATATATAATTTTTTTTTCACTTTACCCCCTCCAAGACATCATTTTAGCCATATTTTGCAGCCTTGTTTGCTTTTTATCGCCCAATTCGCTATCATAATCCATGCATTGGCATAGTGATAGATTTCTAAAGAAGATTTCAGCAATGTCTCGTCATGTTCTGACGCAGTGCCTGCAGTATACTTTATCTTCGATATTTGGTCTTTCAATATTTCTTCCAATATATGCCGCAATTGCAATGCCTCGACGCTTCTTTGCCCGATAAGTGCTACTTCTTCGTCTTTATATGTATTTAAATTACTGATCCAATATTAAGTCATTGTAGAATAGTTCCAAAATAAAATTGCGAACATTAGTTGTACTTTAAAGGAATTACCCCATTACATATTTATAGGACCAGCCATCAACAACAAAATTTCAAAAATATTTGAAATCATTAGCAATCTTCGCGAAATTCCTCGTGGGCTATTTGGGAGAGGAAGAATGAAAATATCGAGGAAAAATGAAATCAGTTATCATGACGACAAAGTAATTTTTGTCACAGAGGAAGCTATTTAAACGCATAAGCGACAAGTGTGTTCGCCGTCTTTGTTAAAATGCCGCCATTGGATGATGTACATTATGTGAGCTTAGCAGAGGAAACTGAAAGGGCTCTAAAGAAGCCGATTGTCTTAAATTGTGTAGTTATGGTAAAATCAAATAATGAAAATTAATATTATAGGATTATACTTATTTGTTACGAGGATAGAACGAGTTTGCTAGGGATTAACTGTAATTAGTTCCAGATATAATTGACTCAACGTCGTCTGGCGACATGGTTTATTCGAGCTACTATGATAGTATGGACGCAGTAGAGACTCGTGGATTGTCCTAAAGCACACGTCTTTTATTAAAGAAGAATGAAAAAAAAATTGAGTAGCTGAACCGTTTGTGGAGTTATATGTATTCAAACAAGCGCACCATGTCTCTGGCTCCAGGTTCAATCTGTAACTGGAGCTGCGAATCTGAAACTGGAGCTGACTGGCTTATCGTCTACGCAGTAGGCTACTTGTGTTGTTGATGGCTGATCTAAATATGTTATGAGAGGTTTTTTGCTTTAAAGTGCAACTAATGTTTCCAAATGTTGCAATGGTGGCATATTATAAGAAATATTGAAAGACACAATATCAAAGATACATACACTGCACTGCTTCAGAACTTGACGAAACTTTGCTGAAATCTTCTCTAGACATCTATCTTTATGCTAAAGTATTATACTTGCGAAATTCGGCAACAAAAAGCGCTAGCAAACAAAACGGCAAAATATGCAGGTCTTTTAATTTTGATTGGCAATTTTTGTTGGGCGCTAACATGACAAAAAGGAGCAAATTTTTGAACGCAAGTATTCGAAAACTCGTCATTTGAAAAATATAATAATTGTGCAGATAAAGGTGAAATAAGCTTCGGAAATTCTGAAAAAAACTCTTACTCAGAGCCACCCATGGTAGCTCCTAGTAAGACTCTGCCCTTTCACCTTCTACAAGCTGAAATATATACAAGTAAAACCACACTAAGCATCTACCCTGGAATAAATGCCAATCTACAGACCCAAAATTCAACTCATCTCCTATAAAAATATCATTTCCGACGATCTAGAGACTCAAATTTTCGAAATATTCCCCCTTCCACCTTAATTAACGTGAAATATTCAAAGGTAAAACGAAGATAAAACGAAATCATTGTTTAACAGCCATATTCATTGGCATAAACTCAACATTTTTTCATTGTAATTATACCATTAACGAGTAAATGACCTGGCAAATTGTCAGTAATGTTACAGTAGATGATGAACACGCTAAGATATTTGTAAATCATTGTAACAATAATCTTATTGACCAGTTGCAAATGTTATATTAAAGTGGAAAATGAATGCAAGACAACAAAACGAGACTTATTGTTAATTAAGCTAAATGATTGTTTCAAAAACAATCTTATTCATCGCGTAAACTGTATTTTCTCATTATATTCCTACACCATTAACACCTAAATGAACTTGCAATTTTTCACTTAACTACAAGTTAAGCCCCATTAATCTTGTTCAACAAAGCTTGGGAAATATTTTAAATTAACGAAGCAAAAGGATTTGAAACCTACAAGTATTAAAATTTATAATCAAAAACAAAACGAAAAATTTATATCTTAATAAAATACTTTTTTCTCCGATTGACAGTTAAATTTCTGATGCGACTTGATATTTTATAGACAAATTCCTTGTCTTAGCCAATCATAGGGACCAATTTTG